TGATTTTTTTTATAGGACCGCTCTATATATATTTTTTTATATGGGGGGTCCAGCTTGCCATTAAGCTAGCCCCCCCATTTTTTACGCGATTTCCTGCTAAACGGCTGGAGCAACAAAATTCGGATTAGAGCAACTAATTAGCAACAAAATAGCACTAAATTTTTGACTAGGTCCGAACTTAATTTGCGAAGGTGGGGGGTCCAGCTTAATAGGGGTGCGATAATAAAATTCCTTTAACCGCATAATACTCTTGAAATGCAGAGATTCTTCGGGTTGACGAATTACTTCAGGAAATTTATAAAGGGATATGCTGCAATAGCGAAACCACTGTATAATTTAACAAGAAAGGGTATAGGTTTCAAGTTTGACGATAACTGTGTAAAGGCTTTTGAAACTTTCAAAAAGGAATTAATTGCTTTTCCAGTTTTGAGGTTGTATAACCCCAAAGCAGAAACGGAACTGCACACGGATGCCAGCACACTTGGCGTTGCTGCAATCCTAATGCAGAAGCAGACGAACGAAGTATGGGCACCGATTGCATACTTCAGTTAAACTACAAATAAAGCAGAAGCTAAATATCATAGTTTCGAATTGGAAATGCTTGTTATAATAAAAGCAATTGAGAGATTTCACGTTTACCTGTATGGTTTAGATTTCACTGTAATTACGAACTGCAACGCGTTGGTTTATGCAGTCAATAAGGCGAATTTGAATCTTTGAATCACACGATGGACGCCATCGCTGCAGAATTACCATTTTCAAGTAGCACACAAACCAGGTACTCGTATGGTGCACGTAGATGCGCTGAGTCGACCGGTGTTCTATATAGATGCGCTACTTATAGAAAGGGAATTAGAATATAAGCATTAAATAGATAATCACTTAAAACGAATTGCCGGTGAATTAGAATTTGAAAGTAACGACAAGTTCAAACTCATTGACGGGCTTGTGTATAAAAAAGATAGCGATAGGTATTGATTTTGCGTATCAGAAACTATGATTAACAATGTAATAAAAGTATCATGACGATATAGCACATTGCGGAATAGAAAAAACTCTAACGGGAATCAGGAATACATATTCGTTTCCGACTATAAGAAAAAA